TAAAAATCAGACAATGTGATTTTCTGGATTTTTTTCTCCATTTTGTCTCTCACAGTTGAGGTATACCTATGATGAAAATTACAGGCCTTTCTCATCTTTTTAAGTGGGAAAACTTGCACAATTGGTGGCTGAATAAATACTTTTTTGCCCCACTGTATATGGTTCTGACTCTTCTGACTTTGGCTCTGTAGTGATAACCATTTTGCATTGGAAGCCCTCTCCTTGGTCACTTGATGCATTTGAACCACTCTGGTTTGGCCCATTCTGGGTTGACTTTTTCCTTTGCACTTACTGGTTCGGTGGCAAACAGCATTTCCTAATTCCCTTAAACTGCTTCCTGCTGCTGCTGCCCAAATTCTTCAGCCATACAAGGCATCTCTCACCATGTCTTTTTGGCTGCTGTTCTATCACCCAGCCTTCTTCCCCGCTTCTGCCCCCTGCCCCCACTACACTCTGTTGAGCTCTACTGCCTCTTTCTCTCTTTAGCTGGGTTACTTGCTTATATGGCTGGCTGTGGGCTCTGGCTGACTATGGTTGCACTACCATCAGCCCAACCCTCCAGACACTTCTTGAGACTCTTCAGCTTAGCCTCCATGATCTTCTTTACACTGCCTACTTGACACTCCAAAGGTAGGGAGGCTTACTTCTTTCTTCCCCCTTGTCTCATCTTCTGGCTTGATCCCCTCTCCAGGGGATACTACTACTAACCTTTCTGCTGCCCTGCAATGACCCCACATGCCTACTTTGGCACCACCCCCCTGGGTTTTTGCCTCTTCTCTTAGCTTTGGCTATATCTGCTGCAACTAAGTTTCTCTGCTTATGGCATTTTGAAAACCAGTCCTGCTGTTCCCATGCTCTTGAGTCTGGCAAGCAAATACATCTCTGGCAAATAGCTGCATTCCTTTTAAAGGTAAGGGCTCCCTTTTTTCCTGGGTGAGGCCCTTCTTAAGTTTGCCAGGGAATGGAAGTAAGAAAAAACAGCATAATGTTTTTCTTCACAGCCATCCTCTCACACACTGGCCTAATCTACATTACTGGCTGCACATTAGATCTGCTTTTTACCCCAGAGCAGAAGAGATGTGATCTGGTTCTGGGGAACATCTTCATCACTTCCTTGTCATAGACTTATCACCTCCTCATGAGGATGGGAGTTAACAGGAGCCATGAGACTCCCTAGGTTGTGGGCCATTGGGACAGCTTACCTCAGGTGCCTGATGGATCCAGAGAGTGGGCCAGACAGTTCTTGGAGATTTTCCCAGCAGTTTGCAAGGCAGAACTGTTGCATGCCTTGTCTGCCTTTGGAAAACAAGCAAGCTAGGGCATGTGACATGATTGCGTCTCCCCAACTGTTGATCCTCTGGGAAATGAGAGAGAGGGGACGCCTGGAGAAATGCTGATGCAAAAAAAGGAATCAGTTGTGACCTCACATAGGTATAAGCTCAAATTCAAGTCTACACTGTGGTAATAAGGCCAACAGTGAAATACTTTTCCACTTCTTTTGCATCTGCAGAATATCAGCATGCTGCACTATTTAGAATGCCCAGACTCCATTATGGAAAGATTAGCTGAAAAAAACAATTACTTTAAATTGTGATTGTCTGACTGAGTATTTTGTGGATAAAATCACTTGCATTCTCTCCAGGTTGGAAACTGGGTGGACAGAATCTATTGAGGTGTTTATAGTTTATAGTGTTCCCTCTAAGCAGTGCCCATACACGTGGCTGTTGCATGCCCATGCACTAGACAGTCTTGTTTGCTTCTCTCCCTCCCAGCAGCTGCTCTGATTTCACTCCAGGTATTACAAACTGTTCAAGAGCTGTTTCTGCAGAGGAGAAAACTAGAGGGCTTGGGCAGTGTGTGTGTGTGTGTGTGTGTGAGAGAGAGAGAGAGAGAGAGAGAGAG